GCATATATTAGTTCTGTGAAACAAAGCAAAACCAATGTTACTCACCTATTGAGAAGAAACAAAGCAACCTCGGCAGGCCTTCCCGCTGCTTGAGTTCTCTCCAGCTCTGGAAAGCTGATCCGATATTTACACGGGTCCTACTTCTTGCCTTATCGCAAGCCTCCTTTTGTTCTGCAGACGTTTTCCTCTTTTGTTTTTTATCCGCCGTCTCTATCTTTCTGTCGTCGCTCGGCTCGGCTGATGTCCGTCCTGTGCACTGATCTATGGCGGCAATTCTATGCCATTAATACCCGAGCGCACCACTGATGCTGGCGCGCGGGGTAAATCAATTCCGCAAGAGGAAAACAGATTTACACGCGAGGAAAGGGAGCCCGCGAGCTCATTTCAAACCCTCATGATCATTCCCCACATCCTCGCGCTCGATCTTTCCTCACCTGCTCGCGCAAACACTTATTTTTGTCAGTCGTGGGGCGGAGCTTGCTGTGGGCGGGGCTTGCTGTTTTAATTGTAACCTCAAATGTCATTGGTTAGTCCTCTTTTCCGGAAGTCAGTTTTGGACGCGTTATAAGATGATTTATAATTCTCTTGACTTGAGACATGGCATCAGTGGACCAGATACATGTGAGTTATCGTTTCATTTGCTCGTTTTATTTATTTATTTTGTCTTTATTTAATGTAATTTAATGCATTGTTCATAGAGTAGATCTTTTTCAGATACTTTATTAATAGGAAGTCTTCTGTTTACTAGTGATTGCAGTCTTGTGATGATAAGAGATACACATATGAACCCTTTTTAAAGACTGTAATGATGCACGCACAAACACACATGCATACATACATAGGCTATATATATAAAGCTATAGGAATGACAGTAAAGTTTTCAAAATGTTTTATCTTTAATCTTGTAAATAGATACATCGTACTATTTGAAGGGTTGTTTAGTCTGTGTTCTTATAAAACACAGGTTTCACCATGTATGCATTTGATTTAGTGTTACTAGTCATCTGCTATCAAAATCAGCCCATTCACGATGATGTATATGAAAATTGATTCCTGTTTATTGAAACCGGAAATGTATTGTATTTTTTTATTTTTTTTAAACAGGGTCAAGGGAGACCAAGGAGTGGAGGATGCACAGATTGCCAGGTTCATGTTTTCTTCAAGAGGCACTGAACAAGGGGAAAAGTGTCCTTAATTAAAGGTAAAAAGAGATGAGGTATGGTGACCCTGTTTTAGTTACCCTGTCACCACACTGCTGTTTATGAATTAATCTAAGTAGATTTTAATGATGTATTTAACTGCTAAATCTTCAGGACATCAAAGAGCCATATCTAGACTGGGACATAGCAGTGATTGTTTTTTTTATTTACCCGATATTTGTTGAAAAAAAAAAAAAAAACTGACAAAGCAAATACAGTTCTTTAACAGGGATATTAGGACCAGTTTAATTCAGAAGGTGTTTGAGTGCCCTCAACCCATCCGAACTCAAAAGTGATTCAAATTCTTGAACAATAGCTAATGATTTAGCAGTTAAATACATAGTTAAAAATCCACTTAGACTAATGCATAAACAGCAGTGTGGTGACAGAGTAAAGAAAGCAGATTCTCCATACCTCATATCTCTCGGATTGATACATTTTGTGTGTATCAGTCCAATGCGCCACAGATGCTCTGAACTTCGATTGCCTTCTGAGGAGAGTGGATGATTCCAGGCTTCTAGAAATGTGTCCAAGTCTGCCTGAACTCTTGGGAGAAAAGTGACGTGCACACTGAACACTGAAAAGACCACTGATATGTCAAGCAATCGTTATGCTTCCAGCGAGTGCAGCATGTCTACTTGTTGCTTGTTGGGATTCTGACATCACACCAAATGCATTCAATCCTATAGAAACAGTAAAAATTGAAATAAATTTAGGTTTAAAAACAGATCAGTTATTTATTAATAAACTAAGATATTATTAAACTTAAAAGTGACATTGAAAAGCTACCTACAGATTACTTAAGTTACTAAATTTAGGCCTAAATGAAATTTCAGACAACTGTACTCTACCTTTAATTATGGACACTTTTACCGCATATGAAACTTCCTTGGTCAGTGCCTTTTGAAGAAAACATGAACCAGAAAAGTTCCAGAAATAAAATTCAAATGCTTTTACTTTCCTGAACTGGGCGGTTGTTATTTGCTGCATTCAAGTACACAACCTGCAAATACAAAGGAAAAAAGAAGAACAAAAAGAACATAAATAAATACATTGGAACTGAATGTATTACAAGCTTCTTTTCAATAAACAGGAATCAATTTTCATATACATCATCGTGAATGGACTGATTTTGATAGCAG